CTTCCTTAGCTCTTTTTTTTTTTTTTTTTTTTTTTTAAGAGGTTCCTCCACCTTTTCAGTAGCTTAGTCTTATTAAGCTACTGCAGAAATACTTAAACTAAATAATCAGCTACCACCATATATTAGGAAAACTGCTTGCTGCCCCCCACAAGTATTCCCCCACCCCCTTTCTTGGTCAAGCTAGGGGGTACAGCAAGGCACCTTCCCTATATGGACCACAACCAATTAAGCAGCTTTTGGGCTCTTCCAAAGAGTGCACAGCACCAGTACCTTTAAAAGGAACTGGTGGCAGCTGGCTGGCCAGTACCATTCCATGGAAGCACATGGTACCTCTGAAGTAGTACTGGACTTGCAAAGAGCTGCACAGCTCCTTACACCACATGATCAGCAATCCAGTATTCCCAGTCACACTATACATAACCAAGCACTAGGAATCCACTCTTCCAGATACCAAGTGCTACTCCACATGCTGCCTTCGCAGCAAGAGAGACCAGCAAAGCACCAATTTGGTTACTCAGAACACAATGTTAGCTGGTTTATTTTGGTGAGCTTTGGTTCCATTTTAAAGAGTTAAAAGAGCATGATAGTCTCCTTTAGGGTACAGAAAGGGAGTTTTGCTTTATGTTTAGACTACAATAGCTTTGGAGTCTAGAAAGAGCCATATCACAAGTCAACCTGTGCTTAAAAAAAAAAAAAGAGAGATGCCCTGAAGAAGATACCCCTGAACACATTCCCTCTTTTTCAAAAAAAAGAAAAAAAAAAAGAGGCCAGCTGCTAGATGCTGGTCCAAAGTAAGTTGAAGTCCAAAATACAAGCAGTAGTATATGAAGTTCCGTCACTGGATTTCAGACAGTAAACAAGATGAACCGTTATCCCACATTAGTGCAGCAGTTTGTTGTTTTCTTCCTATATACAAAAAGATCACCCTCATGGTGGAACGTGTTAGAGCCTGCCAGAGAAAGACAGAGTTAAGTTTCATAACCAAGGAACAAGCCCTTTCCTTTTCTAGTCCCTGTCCCTCCCCATCTAAACCATGCAGCTTTTCTGAGCTATTTAAAAACTTGACCTGAAAGAACTAGCAACAGCCAAGATCTGCATTTTGCTATCATCTCAGAAGACAAAGTGTGCAAGGGGAATTTAAGTGGTTAACGTTCACTCCACAAAGGAAGGAGGAATAACCAAGAAATCATAAGATACTTCATCTACACACTTTGCAAGACCACTTGAGCAGACAAACTAAAAAAAGGTCCAATTGTAAAAAACAAAAAGTCACTTTTGGTCTGTTTGCAAGACTGAAAATCCAGATTAAAAAGCCTGCATGAAACTGGCAGTTTTGCCCAGTTAAAGAGTAGCAGAGAGACAACTTGTTTGTTTGGCCACATACAACGCTAGATAAAACCCAGCCACAAAACAGATCAGCTATTAAGACTGCATGAGAACCTAGCAGACAAGACTGCAGGTGTATTTGCTATGACTTGCCTCCATAGTTACACTCGTCCAGTACCAGCTCTGTGAGTGGTTTGGTTTCGCCGTGCTGCTCCACTACCCCTTCCACCTCGAAATCCACCACGAAAGCTGCGTCCACGAAGAAACCGGCCAGATACCCCAAAAGTCTCAGTATTGAGCTTCCTTTCTTCAGCCCATGTTGTACGCCTGGAACTGAGCAAGTCAGCAATCACAAATTTGACCTGAGCTCAAGATACTGCAGTGCTGCGACTTGACTAGTTAGTTTCAGCTGAAATGGAATGTGCAACCTCTGGTGTCTAGTTAGTGATTCTATACCCATTTGCCCAAAATGCTGTTTGAACTTTTAGATCAATTAAGATTTAACATTCAGTTATGATGGGAAGGGGGGGGGTTAAACCAGTTTAGGCCAAGTACATTAAAAATAAAGATTTCAGTTTATAGTAAGAGTCAGACTCCACTTGGAGTTCTGTTAATGAGAACTTCCCACATGACATTTAAACAAGGACTTCCTTCTGGAGTCCTTCTCATTCACTGCTCTAGCATTTTGATTCTAGATGGTCCACTGATGCACATTTCATAGAAGTGGCCTAAAACTGCATAGTAGAAGTAGTCCAGGCAATGGGTTAGAGTAGTTTGAAGAGGCAGAACTACCAGAAGTTTTTTTTTTTTTGGGGGGGGGGGGGGGGGGGGGGGGG